CTGAGAGTCAGGTGACTCGCCTAATGCCAAGGGTAGCCCAGTGCACGGCTGAGTGTGGACTGGAAGCCACAGTCCTGATGTGCAGGACCGCCTCCCACCACAGCACCCACTGTTCCCAGGCTGGCACCAGCCTTTCTCCGGGCAGGTGTCATTTTCTCTTTAACCTTAGCAGTACTAGAAGCAAGAACATGCATGACTGGATCAGCCCTCAGTGGTTCACAAGATTGTTTTTCCAAAGTATCTGCAGTTGGCAAAAGTAACTGTTGATTTTATTAATAGCAATCCATATGACAAGAATACATTCAGGAGCTCAGGAACCAGAAATAAAACTTCTTTTCAGAGCAAAAGATCATCGCTGTCACAGAAGCACCTGCACTGTGTCTAGGGGTACCCAGGATACTGGGCACTTGACAACTTCAGTTCTGTAATGATAAGTTACCATTACAATAAGTCTTAGGCTCACACCCAAAGAGCCCCCAGTTCTTGTTAAGCAACATTGGCCGGCCTGCATTCCAGGCTCATGTCAACTCTGCTTGTTACACTGTGTGTTATTAAGCCACAGAATTGTCTATACTCATAGACTCTATATCCTGACCTCTCACATACCGACTAAGCCCAATCCAATCTGCTTTTTTGCCTCCGTCACTCTACCAAAGCAGCCTTACTAAGATCAACAAACTGCCAATACAATTGCTATTTTTCTGTCCATGTCTATTTTTTTGTCCTATCTTGACTTTTCGGCAATATTATCACAGTTGTCTACCCTTGCTCCCATTACATCATCATCCTCACTTCCCTTCTCCTCTTCTCTTCCTTTTCAATTTCCTTTGCAGAATTAGCTTTCTCTACCAGTATTTGCTGGAGTTCCTCTAGGTTCAGTAGACTTGTTGCTTTATACCAAGCTCATTCTGGTCTATGTTTTCATCCTTATTGGGTATACACCATTAACTCTCCAAGTTTTATCTCCACTCCAAGTCAAATACTTCCTAACTCCTAGATCTGTTTATCGGATTATTTAGTTCACATCTTTTATCGGATGCCTGGAAATCCAGACGGCTGTGTATGAACTCATCACCTTCCTCTGCCCTTGTGTTTCCTAAGAGGATGGCACCATTCTCTACCGAGCTGTGCAAATCAGACACATGGGTTATTGACTCACCCTCTCCTGTGCCCTTCATTTCAGTTCATCTCAAGTCTAGTGGATTCCGTCAACTAAATTCTCTTTAATGTATCCAATTCTATCCTCTCACCACCACCATTCCAAGCAATCACTTCTTACTATGGTCATCTCCCAACTGGTTTCCTGGCATCCCTCTGGTTTTCCTTCTTTTGCTTCAAAACAATGGGGCTGCCTGTGCCGTCCATCAGAACACCCTTCCACTGAAGAACACACCTGCTTGCTCTTCTTCGATTTCTCCCATAGCCTACAAGATGTTCTGTGGTCTCAGGCCGGCCTGCATTCCAGGCTCATGTCACACTCTCTCTCCCCCTTCCCCATACGCCATCCTTTCTGCGGTTCTTTACACTCGTAATTCCTCCAACCAACGGGCCTTTTCCTGGGCTGTGCCCTTTGCTTAGCTAACTTCTTTGCTTTCATCAGATTTCAGCTCAACCATCCTTTCTCCATGGATGCCTTCACTGACGCCAATCGTGGGCCAGATTATTTGGTTATCTGCTCCAGAAAACCATGTTCTCGTCAGCATAATAAACTCACTTTGATTTTAATTAATGTCTATCTTTTCTGCTAGACAGATGTCTCTTGGGGACATAGGGCTGTATTTGCACAGTGTCTGGCGCAGTACCTGGCACATAGCACACCTTCAGTAAAACCTTGAGTGAATGAAATTACTGTGTTCCTAATGTTAGAAAGTATAATCCAGTACAAGTTTGGAAACAGAAACGCAAAACAGAATGCTTAGTAAATCTGATTTCCATTCTTTTAATCAGACTTTCACCTTTGGCCATTCTGCATATTCACTCGCTCAACAACTACTGGCAGAGCCAATATGGAGTGCTTGATTAATGCAATTGTTCTTAAATACATAAATAAAGATGACTAATAAGCGTGGCAGTGTGGTTCAGTGGTTGAGCGTCAACTTATGAACCAGGAGGTCAGGGTTTAATACCCAGGCAGGGCCCATGCCCAGGTTGCAGGCTTGATCCCCAGTAGGGGGAGTGCAGGAGGCAGCCAATCAATGATTCTCTGTCATCATTGATGTTTCTACATCTCTTTCCCTCTCCCTTCCTCTCTGAGATCAATAAAAATATATTTAAAATAAGTAAATAAATATAGCAATGTTTAAAAAGTATTTTAAAAAATGAAACAAGAGAAAGCTTGGCTCACTTTAGAGAGAGATTCCTCCTTTCAGTTTTTTAAAAGAGACAAGGGGATTTTTTGCTTCATTACATTCTGCATATTTGGGAGCTGGACTGGTCAGCGTTCCCACTGCACGAACACAGTGTGCGATGCTATCGTTCTTCCACTGGTTCTAATAGGCAACACGGAAGTAAAAACATCAGGTTCTCTTTATTTTACAGGTAAAAACGGAACTTCAGTCATGTAACAGAGGATAAGAAACAAGTGCAGTTATATCTGTAACAGGACGGTGGGTGAACTCCACAGCACCGAGCTTCCGGCGTGCCTCTGGGCTGGTCCTGGTCATCTGGAACATTTCCCCCGGAATTTCCTTCCTTGTCGATGGGAAGACATCCTCAGGGTCAAACCTGTTTACCAGCCTTTAGGTCTAAGAGCACATATTTTATTCAATTCCATGCTAGTATATGGACCCCACCCTGTCTTGCTTCAACTTTCTCACCGCATTCCTCCTGACATCAGTCATTCATTATAACCCTCCCCCGGCATTTACTATACCTCCCTCCGCAACGTGTATTTACAATTTTGAAGAATGTGTACATGGCACAGGTTAACTCAGCTGCTAGTGCACAGACATCACATGATCCTCACTGTGCTGGGATATTTTCTTCCAGCTTTGGGGAAATAATTATGTACACTGAGAACCGTAGTAGACAAACAATGCTTAACGCTCATCTGCTAAGACAAATTGTTCTGTACTTCTCAGCACAGTAAGATATGTTTTTAGAAACTGAGAACCAAAGATCATTTAAAACACAAGCGGAAAAATCACACATACCCATCATACAACAGATTGATCAATACACTGAAATTCTGTCAAAAATAGATTTTCCTCGAGGCTTTCATTTCAAACAAGTCAGGGGAAAAAAATCCTAAAAAAACCACATGGCTCTTTGTCTTCTTAAGAGTTGCTTTCTCATTTAAAGTTTAAAAATAGTATTTAGAAAAAGAATTATTATAAGAGGGTTTAGCTGTCTCAGTCAACTTATTGTGAGATATTAACAACAATTGCTTTTAATGTACTAATGTCAAGAAGTTGGGAGGCAGGAATAAATTTTGCAAGTAAATACATGGCACTATGTATCTCCTAGGGTGGGACTTTTGTATTTCCCGTATAGCCTAATAAAAAAACAATTATTCCTGTTCTGGCTGGTGTGGCTCAGTTAGTTAAGCATTGTCCTGTGCACCAAAAAAGTGGCAGTTCAATTCCTGGTCAGGGCACATATCAAGGTTCTGGGTTCCATCCCTGGACAGGGTGTGTATGGAAAGCAACTGATCAATGTTTCTCTGTCACAATGTTTCTCTCTCTCTTTCTCTCTCTCCCCTCCATTCCTCTCTTTAAAAGTCAATAACATTTAATAAAAAAAAATTAAAATTAAAAATTGATTACTTTAAAAACTCATAGATCTAAACATTGATCCTTTTTCTTCTTCTCTTTCAAATATTTCCTAACATTTTCACCAAGTTTTTGCTTCGTGTTTGGATAGCATTTGCCATGACCTTTGTAAGAATTTTCCTTAGCCACCTTTGGAAGGCTGGACAATTCACTCAAATACTCAATGCCAAAGAAAGGCCCGCTAATGCCTCCAATGGTGATCGGGGCAGTAGGAAGTAATAGCAGAGGGGTAGTATTAAGAAATTACTAACATGAGTCCTGGCTGGGTAGCTCAGCTGGCTGGAGCATCATTCTGTACAGAGGAAGGTTGTGGGTTTGATTCCTGGTTAGGGTACATACCTGAGTTGTAGGTTTGGTCCCTGGGGCGCATATGGGAGGCAACAAATTGATGTTTCTCTTGTACATCAATGTTTCTCTCTCTCTCTCTCTCTCTCTCTCTCTCTCTCTCTCTCTCTTTCTCTCCCTCCCTCCCTCTTTCTCCTTCTCTCTCTCTCTTTTCCTCTCTAAAATCAATGAAAACCATATCCTTAGGTGAGGATTTAAAAAGAAGAAAAAAGAAATTGCCAACATGAAAGGCTCAAAGAGGCCAGGAGAACAGTTACCAAGATAATAAGAAACCTGTCCAATTCCAACTATAGTCTTTTTTGGGGGCCATTTGAACACGGAACTGTTTTGTTTTTTAACTTCACATATCATTGGTAGAGTTCTGTCCTACACTTTGTTTTATATAAATTATATTTCATTTCTACAAATGAATTAAGCAGGAAGTTACACTCAACCAACTAAAACAGAAATGATAGATTTAAATTCTGACATGAATGCTGGCCAAAATGATAAGAGAGCTCACACTGGGCCCATCCACGAGCAAGGAGAGAAGCCCTATGTGTCTTCTTTGGAAGAGTATGAACCAGGACACACCTGTAGTTCAGTGACATGAAGTCCTCTGTCACTGTTACAGAACTTTAATTCATTTCATGTACTTCATTTGGTATAACCAAACCACCCTACATACTTCATACAAGTGTGACCTTTCAAAAGAGTCATGAGTTAAGTTCTTAAAAATAAAAGTAGTCTAACTGAAAAAGTCATATAAAATTCCCTTTGTGTTACTTTTTGTAAAACATAATTCAATGAATTCTGCAGTGTAATCCTTTTTCTTCTTTGAAAGCAACTTGCAGGTTTAACATTTTTTAATCTTGGGATGGTTTTCTTTTCTCCACAAAAACCCAATTAAGGACGTTGTACCAATTTACTCTTACTTCCTTCCTGTTCACTGAGCTTAAAGTGGGTATAGGCGAGGATGCCAAATAATGTACACAACATGCCAAGACACTGATTAACTGACAGCGGGTCCTTAAATAAAACATAGCCACCAAATAAAGTGATGCAGAACTTGAAGTGTCCAAACATGTTGTAGCTGAGGTTTTGGGATAAGGATAAAAAGGAGTAACAAGCTAGGTGCTATATTTACACACACACACACACACACACACACACACACACACACACATATGCACGTGTGCGGAGCAAGAGCTTCCTTTGCTCAGTTGGTTGGGCATCTTCCTGCACACTGAAAGGTCAATGGTTCAATTCCCAGAGAGGACACATGCCCTGGTTGAGGGCTCAATGCCTGGTAGGGGTTGTGCAGGAGGCAGTTGATTGGTATTGTGCTCTCACATCAATATTTCTCTCTATCCCTCTCCTTTCCTCTCTCTCTAAGAAAAAAAAAATGTTTTAAGAAATACCCAGAATCCAATAACTTCTCACTGTACCCACTGCTATCATCTTGGAACCAAACCACTGTTATTTCCAAATTAGAATATTACAATGGCCTTGGCAATTTCCTTTCCTGCCTTGCTTCATGTAGTCCAGTGGTTTGGCTGAAGGATGAAAGCAGTGGATCTAATGAGGGGTGGATTCTGCCACCTAGACAAGGTCTGATACATGACTGGGGACAGGGAGTGCTACTGGTATCCACAGAGGTCAGGGATGCTGCCAAACATTCTATGATGCCTAGGATAGGCCCCTGCAACAAAGAACTGTCTGGCCAAAAAGGTCAATAGCACTGATTTGGGAAACCCTGCTTTATTCTTGACACAGTGGACCAGAGTGACCCTATCTATCTATCTATCTATCTATCTATCTATCTATCTATCTATCTATCTATAGAAGCCTAATATGCTAAGTGTTCCTCTGACCATTCAACCTGTTGCTCTGATGTGCATTAACCACCAGGGAGCAGACGTTCTGACCAGTAGGTTAGTTTGCTGCAGGGGTCCAGCTGATCGGGATTGGGCGAGACAGGCCAGACATGCCCTGGAGCCCTCTCACTGTCTCTCCCCTGCTGGCCAATCTCTTACAGTCCCTCCCCAGCCTCTAAAATATTTCTTCTAATTAACTTCCTTTCAATGTGCATGAATCTGTGCACTGGGCCTCTAGCTAGAACATAAGTAAAATCATGTCATTTCTCTGCTCAAAACTCCAGCGGCTTCCCTTCTCACTCAGAGGAACAGTCCTCTGTAAGAGCTCTGCCCACCTGGCTCCCTGGCTCCTCTCAGTCCTACTCCACACCTCCCCCTGCACTTCCTGCTCCAACCAGGAGGGCTCCCTTGTTCCTTAGGGCTCCTCACCTACCCTTCTTTCGTTCCCTCGCCTGGAATGCTATTCATCCTGATCTGCCTGGAGTAGCCTCTTCCCCTCAGGCCTTCCTGACTTCTCTCCCTAAAATTTCACTCTGTCCACATTTCATATCCTCATCCCTGCTTTATTTTTCCTCCCTGGCACTTAACACAAATCTGTATATTTTCTGTTTGTGTTTTGTTGATAGCCTGTTTAAGCCCATGAGAACCAAGTTGTTGTTTTTTGTCTATTTCATTATAGCTCCAGTAGATATTCAATATGTAGATATTAAGTCATTGAACGTTTACAGTGGGTGTTCAATAAATGTCTGTTGAATGCATAAGGGCACATTCTGGATACCTTGATGTGGCAGCATGGTGCAGGAGTTTGGGGACCAGACTGCATGGTTTGAAATCTAGATGCAACACTTCTCAGTTACTTGATCTCGGGTTATTGACACTCTGTACCTCAACTTCCTCCTCTGCAAAATAAAGTTAACAGAATTTACCTCACAGAGCTGCTGTGGGAACTAAATGCCTAACATACCCAAGGTGACTGGAAAAGTACCTGGCACAAAAAAAACACATTTCTTTATTTTTAAAAAAATTATTATTATTGCTGTTACTTATTGATAGTTGGCAAGTAGGATGCTTTTTTACTTTGATGACATCAGTATACGATGACATGACATTACTAAACTACCTCTCTGATATAAAAAAAAAAATCCATTCTTTGCATTTGCCTAAGAGTGGAATAAAGTGAAATGAGAAAAGAAACAGAATGACAAGCAGAATGTTAAGAGTTTGATTCAGACCTTCAGGGTATGACTTCATTTCTTAAATACTGAGAAAAACAGGCACACCCATATCCACATAAGGTCAAAAACATATGATGGAATTCAGAGGTCACATGCCAATTTCAGAAGCCTGGTTATATTTTGTTATATGTATAACCCCACCTCTACTTTATTACTATAGATAACTGAGAATTGACTGACCACCCAAGCATCCATCCCATATTCAACCATAAATATTTATTTAACCCCTCTGTGCAAGAAATGGTTTTTCTATGTTAATTTTTACAAGGGAAATAGTCATCTATGACTTGAGAAAATGAAAAAATGTTCATGATACAGAAAGCTAATCCATTTTCCCAGATTACATTTCTTTAAATTTCTAGAGACTTTAGTGTGGAATGAGATAATTAAAGATTAAAATAACTCACTCTACTCAATTCAGGCCATGCAGTAAAGGAAGTTAATGTGATGATGTGTTAGAAAATATAAAAGACTATGCATTTGTAAGTCATTAGGAAAAGGATACGTGACTGGTGAAGTGTTCCCAATGATCCAATAAATTGATAAGTTCACCATGAAAGCTATTACTCCAGATAGAAGCACCATAAGCTACAAATAAAACAAAAGAATCATTAATGCAGCTTCAATCATTATAATCTTCAAGGGAAAATACATTTCATTAGGCATTTCTAAAAACTCAAATATCAATCATTATAAACAAAATTTTTAAAAAGAATCAATTTATACCCTGGCTGATTTGGCTCAGTTTGTTGGGCATTGTCCCTTCACCAGGAAGTTGCCGGTTTGATGGTTTGATTTCTGGTCAAGGGCACATGCTTAGATTTGGGGTTCGATCCCCAGTAGGGGGTGTGTAAGAGGCAGCTGATCATCGATGTTGTGCTCTCACATTGATGTTTCTCTCTATCTCCCTCTCACTTCCTCTCTCTAAAAATCAATAAACTATTCTTAAAAAAAAAAAAAAGAATTTGAAAGACAACAAGAATTGAAGGTAAAAGAATAAAATGAATAATATTCAGAAATGTAATTTTGTCTAAAAAACTCAAAGAAAAATTCTCCAATAATATCCTGCCTCTGAATGTGAATATCCAGGTTCATTTTCTTATCCATCTGAAGAAAAATTACTTTAAAAATTTTATTATTAAAAAATCAGAAAATAAATATAAACATAAAATAATTCTTATAACCCCAACCATCAACCACTATTAATACTTTAGCATACATCCTTCCAGATCTCTCTTCTATTGAATTGATCAAATTTGTTCTTATTTACATTAAATCAATATGTATTCATTGGATATCTACAAAACAAGGCTATGCCTTGTGAGGAACACAGTATGTTCTTGTTCTCAAAGAGCTTATAAAATACTTAAGGACACAAAGTCATGGTAATCAAAGCTTACACTTACATAGACATTATTACGTGCCAAGAATCGTTCTAAATGTTTTACATATATTAATTCACTTAATCTTCACAAACCACACGAGGTAGTAACATATTATCCCTTTTTATAGATGAGAAAACAGAACACAGTGAAATGAAGTGATCTGCCTGAGATCACAGAGCCAAGAAGTGGCAGGGCTGAGATTAAAACCCGGCAATCTGGTAATGGAAATCCTGCTCTTAGCCCACTCTGCTATGCTACCTCTTAGCCACATGACAGTGGGAATGCAACGCGAGATTTCTGGCTCAGGCAATAAAAGAATATGAGCTACCTCATTTATAGGCAAACAGATAATATATGATCTATATGACTCTCTAGGCAAGACATACCGTTTGGATCTGGAATAATGAGAAAAGTCTTTGGATTTCAAATGTATGTGTCCATTAAAGAAAAAAGAGGGGGCAGGGTTTCAAGCAGAGAGAACAGTATGGGCCAAAGCATGGAGGCAGGAAAACAAAAGGTACAGACATGGGACAGTGAATAAGACGAACTTGGCTGAGGGCTGGAGAACAAAGTGAGCTGAACCACTGTGCACATACACAATATTCTGTTCAAACCTACCTCACAATTTTACTTAAAAAGTTATAAAGTTATTTGCTATTTCTAAAATAAGAGAGTTTAGATAAAATATCAGTTATGATTTTGATTAGTAAGAAGTTTACATTCCAAAGAGATGAGTAAGTCATATTTGAAGATTCTTTTGTCCCATGTGCGTTTTTTCAGTTTCAGATCAGCGCAGTCCTAAGAGGCCTAGTGGAGTTGGATTTGTGTCTTATTTAGGCAAAGAGAGTAAGCCATCATTTGTTTTACAAAAGTGAGGCCATTACATTTTCTTTATTTTATCTTATTTTTTAAAATTAAATTGATTGGGATGACACTGGTCATAAATTTTTAATTAAGAGAAACTTGCTCCTTAAATATTTAAAAATATATATATTTTATTGACTTTTACAGAGAGAAAGGGAGAGGAATAGAGAGTTAAAAACATTGATGACAAACATCAATCAGCTGCCTCCTATACGCCCCCTACTGGGGATCGAGCCAGCAACTAAGGTTCATGCCCTTGACCGGAATAGAACCCTGGACCTTTCAGTCTAAGGGCCGACATTCTATACTCTGAGCCAAACTGATTAGGGCAACTCCTTGAAGATTTTAAAAACTGCTACTAGAAATATATCATTGTTAATTTTATTGAGTTCACAGAATATTACATACCTATTTTTGATGACTTAGCATTAAAAATACAATTACAAGCTCTACTTTGAGGCAATGATGCCCTCTAGGGACATTAAAGAAGGAAGGTGACTTTAATTTAAATGGCCTTAGACCTGCTGTGCACTAAGTTTCTTTGACTTGCCCTTATGGCCTTTCTGCTGGGATAATGCCCTCTTCTTTCAAACCTGTCAGAGGACCTATGGCAAAAACCTCTCCCTTTCTAATGTAAGATGTCTAAGCTGCAATGGTTTGAAGACCAGATCATTATTTATCACTTTTGTAAAATTAGTAGGAAATATCTGACAGAGGGGACAGCCATTTCTACTTTGGAAAAAAGGGTTTATGTCGGTGGGGCTTACTCGGGGTGGGAATGGCTGGGGAGGGGGGAGTCAAGCGGAGGGAAAGGAGACAAGTAAAATTTTAGATAATAATAATTAAAAAAAAAAAGGGTTTATGTCAAAGTACATGAATTTAAGACAACTATCAATCTGCTTACAGGCAGCACAGTGGATTGGTTAAAAATATGGACTTTGGAGCCAGAAAACATCGATTCAAATTCTAGCTCTGCTTTCTAGCTTAGGATATCAAGTCAGTTGCTTAACTCTGCCTGTTTCCTCATCAGTCAATATAGGGAGAAAATAGCATGGATCCGCACAATAACATTGTTGTAAGTAAGTTAATATTTGCAAAATGCTTAGAAAAGAGTCTAAAATAGACTAAGGGTTAAGTAAGTTTGATAAGTTAACACCACTAACAAAAAAACATTCCTATTGACTGTGTTCCAAAGGTTACATTGGAAGCAGACATTCCTTCCCTAAGTGGGGATTATACTTTCGAACTTAAAATGTCACCAAAGTACATATCCCTTTGATCTGCAGTTCTACTCTTAGGATTCTAATTTAATTAAAAGAGGTACCAGTTCACCCTAGCCAGTTTGGCTCAGTGGCTAGAGCATTGGCCTATGGACTGAAGGGTCGCCGGTTCTGATTCTGGTCAAGGGCACATGCCTGCGTTGTAGGCTTGATCCCCAGTAGGGGGCGTGCAGGAGGCAGCCAATCAATGATTCCCAATTATCATTGATGTTTTTGTTTCTCTCTCTCTTCCCTTTCCTCTCTGAAATTAATAAAATATATATACATTTTTTTAAAAAGAGATACTTCCATGAGATATTACGTGAGAAAAGTTATATACAGAAAATCATGTGATATAATGCCATTCCTGTATCAAAACAAAAGTTAATTTCATATAAATACATGTGTGCTTTGTGTATGTTGATATATGGGTGTGTATACCAAGGAGAAAAATATGAAAGAACAAATACTAAATGTTGACATGACTTACTTCAAGGAACAGGAATGGGATAATGAGATGTGGAAGGGTGCATGGGTAAGAGTACTAGGGAAAAGGAATCTATGATTTAAAAAAAAAAAAAAGCATATATAGTAAGGATCCATGCATATAAAATTATACATCCACACATTCCAACACACATACTGTGTGTTTATGTATCTGAAAAACAGATACATGAAATAATCATGAAAATAATAAATGTGATTATCTTGGTTCTAGAGGACCTTTACTTTCTTTATATTTTTATGTATGTTCAAAACCTATACAATGACCATGTACTATTTTATATTATCAAAACAAAGTCAAGCAGCAAGTGAAAGTTAACTACAAGGGAGCTCCCATAAGAGTGTCAGCTGATTTCTCAACAGAAACATTTCAGGCCAGAAGGGAATGGCATGAAATATTCAAAGTGATGAAAAGCAAGGATCTATAACCAAGTCTACTCCAACCAAGGCTATTGTTTAAAATTGAAGGAGAAATAAAGAGCTTTCCAAATAAGAAAAAGTTAAAGGAGTTCATTATCACTAAACCAACATTATAAGAAATGTTAATGGACTTCTTTAAGAAGAAAGAAGATAACAAAAACAAAATCAGTAAACCTATCTTTTCACTGTAAAAAAGTAAAATAAAAATAGATGCCTGAATTATTTGTGGGCTATGGCTTTGAGAGGTCAGAACGGTAATCAGGAATCAGCAGACCTGAATTTTAGGCCTGGTTTTGTCACTATCTGTCTGACCCTAAGCAAATCCCTTAACCTTCATGCCTCTCAGCTTCTTCATCTAAAAAATAATTCTTAGTTTCCTTCCCTGAGAGGATAATGAATATTAAATGTGAGAATGGATCTGAAATAGTGCTCTGAACATTAAAATTGCATTAATAATAGAGGGATTGTTATCATCTTGTTCTTTGACACAAAAAACCATCAGAACTCACCAAAGCAGAAACTGACCAGGGGCTGAAGAGTCCTCCCTCTCCAAACAGTGGCTCGAAGAAGGGCACAGCGACCAGCAGCATGCCCGAGGACATTGGAGCCTGGTAGTACAGCAGCTGCATTGAGTTAACTTGCAATTCATGCTGTTTGGCTCCTACCCACTGAAAATTAGGAGATAAAACCAGTTAGGCAGAAAAAAAAAATAGCATTACTCACTATAAAGCAGAGATGCAACTCTAGCTACAAAGATGGGAATGTGGGGCACAGGGGAAGAGGAAATGCCTGATTATTCTACAAAATTTTAAAGGTCAATAACATATACAAATGTTCTTAAAGCACCTTGGATGAGAGGAACTTTATTAATTCAGTGTCTGATCATGTATTTTTTTAACACTAGTGGCCGAAACCGGTTTGGCTCAATGGATAGAGCGTCGGCTTGGGGACTGAAGGGACCCGGGTTCGATTCCTGTCAAGGGCATGTACCTTGGTTGCGGGCATATCCCCAGTAGGGGGTGTACAAGAGGCAGCTGATCGATGACTCTCTCTCATCCAGGTTTCTAACTCTCTCTCTCCCTTCCTCTCCGTACAAAATCAATAAAATATATTAAAAAAAAAAAAAAAAAAAAAAACCACAAAAAAAAAACCCACTAGTGGACTCCGGGAATTATTTTCTTCTTTTTCTCATTTTAGTTTTTCTTTGCTTTCTTTCTTTTGATCATCTATTTTCTTCTGAATTATAAAGAAGAAGAAAAAGATCCTCTCTCCCCTTCTTATTCTAGTAAATGGGGAAGTACCTTGGTTACGGGCACATCCCCACATGAGCTCACAAGCATAAGAAATCTCAGGAAAATATGGCAGGAATGGAAATTTTAGTCATCAGTAGGAATACAGATGCAGTGTCTGACTTCATTTCTTTCTAAAAAAAAAAAAACAACAACTGGGGGACAGGGAAAACTAATTAGAGACAGACAGGAACCTCAGTTACCCCATGTGGCTGCCAATGTAATGTGACTAGAAAGGTGTGTGAGGTCTTTCAATTCAGGTTAAAAAGCCTAGTCAATGGTAAAAGGAATCTTTCTCTTCATGGATGACTTTTCTGTGGGTAACCTCCCAATAATACATGTCAAGAAATGAGATGATCACAACCCTAAACAACTATATCATTCAGCAGAACCAACCCTTCAAAGCCAAATCCCACCAGTCCTCTAAATGCTTCGCAATTATAACTGTTTAAAAAAAGCTTGGTAGGACCATTTGAATAAGATTATATATATGTATGATTTGGCAAAAACAGCCAGGCCTTTGAAAACCATTCTTACATAATTCTTTTTTCCTGCTGGTCTGGGTATCCTATTACATATACTCTAAGTCTATAGAAATTCACCAACACAAAAATAAAAGAGCAGGAAATCTGACACATACTCCTGCCAGCCTTAACTAACAGGCTTCTGTGACGATGAAGGACAAAGAATTGATTCTGCTGCTGCTGGCTCCTTGGGGCACCGCAGTGGGCAAAAACGAATGCAGAGTGTCCGCTGTCCCGCGGGCAGCCTCGCCAGGCAGCTGGGCATCTCTGACACAGAACCGCCTGGTGAGTCAGGGCCTCTACTTCCTCTTCTTGAAACTGCTCCCTCAAAGGGCACCATCACTCCAACAGCTACATCCAAAGGGCTCCCTTCCAGTCTCCTCCTGCTGGAGCACTCTGCAGAACATGAATAATTCTGTTGGAAGAACCTGACCTCTGGTTCGCACTGCTTCCTTCCTCACCTCTTCCTTCACGTACTGTTTTTAAGGTTGGTGTCTGGCCTTCCTCTTTGAACTCCCTAACTGATTTCTATTACTATCTGTGACATCTATAGCTCTGACCTCTTTCCTAGAGCGTCCTTACACTCACATCTTCAACGGTTTATGAGTCATCTTCACCCGCAAGCATGTCAAACTCACGGCTGGTGGGCCGCATGCCTCGTTTATTTAAAGAGGAAAATTCCTTTTACCATTGCCTGGGCTTTTTAAAGTGAACTGAAAGACCTCACACACCTTTCTAGCCACATTTATTTAAAAGAGGCATGAGGCCCGCCTGTCGCGAGTTTGACATGCTTGAGTCAGGACTTGTTTAAAAATCAAGCTCATTTCTTCCTTCCCTAAATCAATTCCTCTTGTGTTGCTCCAATAATTGATATAATCTTCTCCAAGAATCAGCCTCCTTGCTTTCCTTACTCTTCAGATTCAATCAGGTCCCACTAATTCTTTCTTTAAAAGGTTTCTGGAGTGTTTTTCCTGACCTATTTTTCTACTACCACTATGCTTGTTCAGCGCCCTCCTGCCTTCGCCTTGAACCATGGAGAGCTATGAACTGTCACCCTTCTTTCCCTCTCTTATTCATTCTCCATTACCACGAGTTATTTTTCTAAAACACAGGGAATGATCAAGTGACTCTCCTATCCACACTCCGCTCCCAGTGCCTGCAGGGTGAAGAGCACACTTCCTTCTCAGGACAGCTAAGACTCTGCCTCTGGTCCCACCCATCCCTCAGCCTCATCCTTTCTCAATGCCACTACAGTCTCGCTAAACAAATCAACTTCTCCAAGAATGTCCCCATCATCGCAAAGAAAGACCTCTGCTATACTTATTTGCTAAGCAAACTGTTCACTTTTCCATGAAGACTTAACTCACCACCTTCTGGGGTAGAACTGCCACTTCCTCCCTAGTGTACCTCAGAACTTTCCTCATCCCCTGAGCTATCCTACTTGTAATTAGCTGTCTACACGTGTTTCTACCATACTGAACTGTAGCTGCTTTTCATCTTTGTATCCTCAAGGCGAAGCATAGAGCAGAGGAAGTGTCCACTGAAGGAATGAATGACAAGTCTTTCTACAACAGTCTTTCTATAAAGCTCATCACTCATCTTTTAACTCCTTTTAAGGCTCCAGCAGAAATAACTGAGAAATTACACCTGGTTACAATTTTCTTTAAAATGAATTTCTGGGAAACACACCTATTTTGTAACAGTACTTTTACCACCTACTAATAATGGAGAACTCTGCCCATTTGTTAGTCTACAATCATTCCTTGGTCAAGCTCATTTCAAATATCTACCTAAGGGATATCGAACCCTTTGATTTTAATCTATAACATGTTGGGACTTGTGTGAACAAAAATGTTCATATTGGCACGCACAGTCAGTGCTCTGAATTTAAATGATATATAATGAATATAAAAAAGCATAATATCCAACAAATAAAAGTTCTTGCCATAACTAATAAATATTTAATCCGCACTGGGCTAAAAAAAAAAAAAGTTCATTTAGCAGAAAAGAATGCTCATTTATTTTATCTAAAACAAAATTTAAACTCTCTGAAGTACACCCAGTATGATTTTCTTAAAGCACAAAGCTGAGCTTCCTCTGGTTACTCTCTGCAGGAAAAGACAATTTCTGGGAGCCAAGTGACAAGACTGAGTGGGTGCTCATCCTTTCATGCCTGTGGTGTCTTTTTATTTTATTTTATTTTATAGTATTGCCTTTTAAAAAAAAAATATATATATATTATTAATTTTTTACAGAGAGGAAGAGAGAGGAATAGAGAGTTAGAAACATTGATGAGAGAGAATCATTGATCAGCTGCCTCTTGCACACCGCCTACTGGGGATGTGCCCGCAATCAAGGTACACGCCCTTGACCAGAATCGAACCTGGGACCTTTCAGTCCGCAGGCAGGCCGACATTCTATCCACTGAGCCAAACCGGTTTCGGCTGGTGTCTTTTTTATATACTGCTTCTCTATCACTAAAATACATATTCAACCCCAGAATGTTAACATAATGTTTCTGAGTGATCAGTATTATAAAGTTTAAGATGCTAAGGCTGTATCATTAAACTCCTAACACTCAGTAAGAATGCTTTAGTTTATAACTAGTGGATGCTTGCAATAAAAGTAAAATTGGTTACGCATTTTTTACTCTAATTTCCCCATGCAGGCAAACCCAGAATTTTCAGTCCAAGGTTTTCAGTATAGAGAAAATACTGTTTCACTGTATCCTACACCAAGTTACTTCCCCGCCCAATATGAAAAACAAAAAATATGCTTGTTCAGATTTTATGGTAATGAAGTAAGTGGATCCCTGAACAAATTTTTAATGAATGCCTTACTATATAGGCAAGACACTGTGCCAGTACAAGAAGTGAAATACCCATTGCTATAAAACATTATATAGATAAATTATTTGAAGCCAATATACAAGTTGTAACCATAGCATATTTTTTGAGGCAGATTTATAAATCTGTAATTTTCCTTTTCCATTCAAATTTTTGAAAGTGTACTCACTCCTTTCATAATGTTATAATTAAAGAGTAAATGATACATGTAACCAATGAACTCAGTCCTCAAGCAAAAAGTCTTATTATTCGTTTTGTGGAGACTTCCCAGAAAATAATGTAACACCACCCCAAATTCAAACTGTTAAGCATGGGTATCATACACTTACAAACAGGTGGGTAGGTATTTGGTGAGCATCACACACCCAAGTTTGTCTCCTTTCTTCTCTTCACCTTGAGTCAGACAATTTATGCAATGATGCTTTCTTCCTAACAGTCTATTGTCTCTATACTGTATTTTATAAACCTTGGGATACAGCTTCAATTATGAAATCTGCTAAAAAGGCACATAAAGAAAAAGAAAATTACCAACCACTTGATAAAGGGATGTAACTAAAACACCAAGAGCAGCAAACACCATTCCAAGGAAATTAAACTTCACATCGTAATAAGAATTTAGGATTACACCTAAAGTTATAGGAATCTGTAAAGAAAAAGAGGTAAATGCTGTTCAGATTAAGTTCAAGAGTATTCCTTTCATGGTGTTATACAAAGTTAATTTTTTTAAAAAACATCACTAGAAAACAATGAACCTCTATACATTTTTCTTTTCTATTTTAAAACATTGTTAATCCTGTTTCCTCCAAGTTAAATATGATAGTTCTCATTGTGTTACATTTAATTCTATTTAAAGATTTGGGTAATGAGTTCATGCATTGCACTTTGTAAGAAATGGAAACCAAATGCAGGGACATAGGCGGAAAAGAACCCTGAAATTGATGTCTAAACAACATATAAACATAAACAAATAACAACAGCATTTGGATCTTAAATATTGTAAATTATTAAGTGTTAAAATTATTTTAGTCTATTTCCCTATATGTATAGATGCAGAAATCAATGTAGAATGTGGCTGCTGACATAGTCTGAGACATATTTTATCTTAAACCTTTAATGTTTATCATACATGGTTTGGTTCCCCTGGGGGAGATGGGCAGTTTCTGGTTTGAGATTTTGCAAATATCTGATTCATTGACTTGCATTACCCAATACAGCTTTTTTTTCTTACCGATCGCAGCATTTAAGGATTTCAACCAACAGTAGTTATTAAAATGCACAAGCACACTTCTAGGCTAAGAGCTCATTGGAGTGTCAGGATGACTTTTTTTCCATCTCCCCCAAATCAGCCTTAAACTGACATGCTCACACATGTGTGGATTTCAAGATGATGGGGAAAAAGCGTGGCCCCAGGTTAAACATTCAAAATTCCCGGTGAAAAGGACAGACCAGGAGGTGGGATGTTGGAGGAGCGCCTTGCGACGCTGAAGCTACTCACCAGCGTGAGCTGTATTTTGGTGGAAAAGGTTTTCTTGTAGCAGAGGGTCTGGATCACTATGATCACCGGCGTGGTCATGGCCTTGGCCAGCTGGTAGGTGCCTATGGTGTTGTTCTGCAGAGAAAGGTTGGTGAAGACCACGAAGCCACAGAAGCTGAGGGCCAGGAGGAGGAGCTTGGAGGGCGGCAGGCTCTTGGGGGCAAAGATGTTCAGCTTCTGGCAGAGGTACAAGCCCAGCCAGGTGACCACAAAGTGCACCAGGGTCAGGCTCATGTTGGGGAAGCCGTGGTGCACGTAGATCCATTTGTTGAGGAACACGATGCAGATGGACACCAGCAGGTTGAGCAGGAGCCCGGCGGCGATGCGCCCGTTGCCCCTCACTCTCTCCGCCAGCGATGCCATGACCCCCGCGAAGCCCGGGCCCTTCAGTCCCGGAGAGGGACGCCCGGCCTGCCTCCGGCTGCCCTGGCCCTCCTCCTCCGCGGCCGTGGTCCCGCAGCCGCCGGCTTCAGCTTCTGGCCGCCTAGAGGGTCCCCGGCGAGCCACAGCAGAGCACACATGCTCCGCCACCGCCCACGGAGCCCGCGGCGACGCGACAGCACGTCCCGCGCGCCCCGCCCCCTGCCACGTGACTCGGGGCGCCGGCGATTCCGCCCCCAGCTGGGAGCCGAGCAGCCGCTACCCTGCGCAGGCGCATTGGGCTCTGGGTGCGCCGAGATGCTTTCTTAGTTCTCTGTTCCTTCTTGGTCGCCTAATCTGGACCCATCTGAGTTTCTTAAGATGTTTGGTATTTTCTGTGTGTCAGTTGACTCCACTTGCTAGACTGCTGCTCTCAAGCTGATGGAATGGGCTGTGCACACGGTTGGTCAGCTTTATGTTTGAGACAGATGCTGAGCAATTTTAGTCCTCCAAATATACAGATTAGTCAGTATGATGAAACTTCATATATTCATCATGGTTCGTAAACAGTGCAGATTTTCTTTTTGTTTGCCCTTTTATTATTCTAGAAAAGTGTCCATTTTACTTAAGTGTTTTAATATACTTGGTTAAAGTAGTAGATAATATTCTATCATATGTTAAATTTATTTAATCTGTTGTTATATCACTTTACTTATTCTAAACATTATGCATTTGGGATTTCTCTATCCCTTGATTAGCCTTGTCAGTGATCTGTCTATTTATGGGTCTTTTCAAAGATTACTTCTACTGATTTTGTTTCAACACACTACAAATTCCAACTTTCCTCCCCTAATCTCTTGAATATGAATGTTCAGTTTGTTTAAAGGATTCAAAGCTGTGTGTTTCTCCCTAAAGAATAGCTTTGCCCGCAGTCCTCTGGATAATGTAATATTCTCACTGTCCTTATTTCCTAAGTCTGAATTTTAATTTAAGAATTATTCAGATATTGAGCACCTGCTTTGTACCTAGCACTGTATTTGGCACTTGGAGATAATGGAGAGTAAAACCAATCCTGACCCTTTCTTACCGAACCTTGGAAGAGAAACCTGGTACTCAACAATTATAAACCATAATAAATGAATGTTGTGAACAAAATATGGTCCTATGAATGTATAAGAGAATTTGATCTAAACTTGGGGAGGCAAAGGTGGTCAAAATCTTCCCTTAAGAAATGACTCAAACTAACATTTGAGAATGAGCGTAGTTAATTAGGCAAAGTCTAACGTATAGCTTTCTTAACATGATTTTTCTATGCTTTTTTCCCTATCAAATCACCAAACTCTGTCATCATACTGTGTTATGTGCTTTTCCATTGTATATTTATATTGCCATCCTCCCTTCCAGTTTGGACCTACAGACCGCTACCTGATCAAGGATTTATCATGTTTACCCTCACCTGCTTTCCAATTAAAAGCCTAGGCTTTAATTAGCCTATCTTGGTTGTCTCCTAGTGATTATAGATTTGGACTGATAATCATAGCATGGATGGTAAGTTATATATTTTTTTATCATTCTTCTGTTTCTCTTATACTGTATTTTAAAAATAGTTTAACTATGAACTCATAGTTTAACATATCCAGTTAACCCAATTTGACACATTCAATGAGTTCCATGCCCTTTTCACTCCCCAAATAAATGCTAGTTTATAAGAACCAGAGTATTGTTTCCCAGGGAAATCATGTGTCATCAGGCTAAAAATAATAACAGTAAATTTTAAAGTCCACTTATTTGTTCTGTCCTTAGTGAAATTTTATTATATGTTTCTAAGTTAACTATTAACAATATAAATAACTCGACATCATTAAATAAAGTTAAAAATATCTTGCAGATTCCAGTTGCCTATCAAGGCCTCCCTTAGTCTGATGCCATCTATGACCTCCATCCAGTTTCCCACTATTTCAGACTTGTTCTCCAGGTTGGTTTAGTTGGTTAAATGGCTTTCTTTATTCCCTTCAGCAAAGCACAGACCCCTAACTCTTATCAGCCTACAATGTGATTATTTTACTCTCATTTTTACATGTTGAAAATAGAGGTTCATGGATGTTTCCTTGCAGCTAAAATGGGATGAGGATAAGGTTCAAACCCAAATTTCTCTGGCTCCCTAACCCATTTTCTTCCTTTTTGTTATGGAAAAACTTGTGCAAAGTTAAAACTGTATGGTAAGCTCCCCTGCCGGCCTGATTGCCCCTAACTGCTCCTTTGCTGACTTGATCGCTGCTAACCCGCCTCTGCCTCGCCCTGCACCCAGAACCCAGGATTCCCTCTTCTGGCTGGCCATAGGCACCCAGGACCCAGGCCAGTTTCGCTAGGGCTGGCCACAGCCACAAGGGACCATCTGTGGATGGCTTCACCTGGGCTGCAGCCACAGGTGCTGGCGCCCAGGACCGTGGGATGGGTGGCTTGTCCCTCTCCTTGGCCGCAGCCTGGCTGGTCCCCCTTCCTCTCCCCAGTGTTGAGTTTATGAGTCATTATGGTATGAGGGCGTGACAACTACTTGCATATTAGCTCGCAATTATATAGGATACCACAATTTGTTTAGTCATTCTCCTAGGGACAGTTATGGTATAAAGTGGGGGTCGTTTATTTTCCATATAGATATTCTATTGTTCTGTCACAATTTCTCAAACTCCACCCAAATTTTTCATTTAGAAAAATTTTAAATCTATAGGAAAGTTAAGACTACTATAATAAACATTCTTGTGCCCTTTCTGTAGATTCACTCGTAAGCATTTGGCTGTATTTGTTTTATCTTTGTAAACTTATATATTACAGCCTAAACCATTTAGAATTAAAGTGCAGACTTCATGACCTTTCATTGATAAATATTTCAGCATGTATCTCTCCTACTTAGCTACAATACCATTATTATACCTAAGAAAATTAATATTAATTGAATCATCCCAACTAATATGCACTCTATTTTCTTGCTGGACTATTGATGGAAATTATGTTAAATCTGAATGTCAACTTGAGAAGGGATCTTTACCATGTTGTCTTCTAGTTAATGAACATGGCATGTTTCTCCATTTATTTTACACTTCTTTGGTTTCGTTCATCAGTATTTTGTAGTTTTCAACATATAAATCCTATACATGTTTTGTTAGATTTACTCTTGCTTAACATTTTATATGGCTCTACCTCATTTTAAAATGGATAAATAGTAAGATATAAAAATTAAAGAGGTTTGGATAAGTCAATATTTCATCTTTGAATCACTTTAGCTAGAAAATGAGGCAGAGGCCATGCCTCTATTATAATCAACAGTACACTGCTGTCTGCTTTAGGCTCAGGGGGACCAATACCCATTTTTGATGTAAGCCAGTGTGACTCAAACTTAACTATTTAGAAATCACCCATAGCTTATTACAAAATACAAATTCTATGACGCCATTCCAGGCCTCCCAAGCAGGCTCCCCATCTCTAGAGGTGGCATCAATAAATACATATTTAACAATTCCAATTATTATATAATAGCCAGTTTGGGGAGTTATTGACCTGGACCATGTTTACTATTAGATTCATATTGTCTCTTCCCATTTATAAATCCTACACTATAGTCAATGTGGCATATTTGCTGATTCATAAACATACAGTACTATTTTGTGGCCTTCTTGTGCTTTATCTTTGCTTTTGCAAATTGAGTGCATTACTCAAATCCCAGCCCAAATGCAACTTCCTCAGAGACCTTTTAGCTGGAAATAGTTTCTTCCTGCTCAGACTGATGGCATTTACAATATATATTGACTAAAGTCCGATGCATAAAGATTTGTGCTAGAATGGGTTTTCCATTCCCTGGCTGCCAGCTCCCTTTCCACTCCGGCCCAGCCCCTTTCTGTTCCAGCCCGGAACTTCCTCTTTCTGTTCTGGGGGACCCATCTTCCCACTCTGCCCAGAGGCCCTGAGAGACCAGGGTGGGGCAGTTCGCCCACCTGCCCCATTATTTGGCACCTGTGTATGCAAATTAACTGCCATCTTTGTTGGGTTAATTTGTATATCACTCCTGATTGGCTGTGGGCATAGCAGAAGTACAATTTACATGTTTGGCTATTATTATTATTTAAAAAAATATATATTTTATTGATTTTTTACAGAGAGGAAGAGAGAGGGATAGAGAGTTAGAAACATCGATGAGAGAGAATCACTGACCAGCTGCCTCTTGCACACACCCTACTGGGGATATGCCCACAACCAAGGTACATGCCCTTGACTGGAATTGAACCTGGGACCTTCCAGTCCACAGGCTGACGCTCTATCCACTGAGCCAAACCGCTTTCGGCAACATGTTTGTCTATTATTAGGTAAGATAGTATTTCCCCTCCTAAAAAGCTGGATTAGATTTTACTTGTTTTGCATTCCTAAAGTTATTCAATTTACCGTATCGGGTCCCACACCAAGTCTGCACACGTGCCATTTCAGTGGCAGGTTTGCTGAGAGTTAATAAACTAGAAATGCTTCAAAATAAAGAAAATAAAAGCTTAATGTTATTTTAGAACACATTCTTCCTATATTCATCTTATCTGTAATATTTTTAAAAATACTAAATTTTATTACGAACACCTGTTAGAATGGCCAACATCAACAAATCAACAAACAACAAATGTTGGCGAGGTTGCGGAGAAAAAGGAACCCTCGTGCACTGCTGGTGGGAATGCAGACTGGTGCAGCCACTGTGGAGAACAGTGTGGAGTTTCCTCAAAAAACTGAAAATGGAACTCCCATTTGACCCAGTAATCCCACTTCTAGGAATATACCCCAAGAAACTAGAAACACCAATCAGAAAGGATATTTGCACCCCTATGTTCATAGCAGCACAATCTACAATAGCCAGAATTTGGAAACAGCCTAGGTGCCCTTCAGCAGATGATTGGATCCAAAAACTTTGGTACATCTACACAATGGAATACTATTCTGCCATAAAAAAGAAGGAATTCTCATCATTTGCA